CTCCCTTCTGCCCTGTATTCAGACACCAGCGTGACATCAACATTCTTGGCTGTGACAAACGAGAAGTAGATCGTGACGGGCTCCAGGTGAGCTGATCTCTTGCCGCAGCCTTGTGTCTGACCTAAAATAGCAGCGGGCCGGCTGCTGTGTGAGTAGCTGCTCCCCAACGCAGGCCCCATGTACTTCACCATGACAAACAGCTATTAAATTGAAATTAACACTGTTTTGAATGATCAAATAAAATAACAGAGGTCACAGGCTGAATGCATTAGCACATGTCTCTGAGGAATTCTTGTCGGCAAGCCTGTCCGAGGACCATTTGTCTGTGTGACGCTATACACAGCAAGCTGTTGCAATGTGTTGCTATAGCCGATATGAAGTATTTATCGTGTCTTAAAATGAGTGATAAGGGTTTGGGGGAATCACTGCCAGCATCAGACTTAATCCTTTTTCACAGAATATAACCAGCAGTCAATTCTCCATAAAGAGACGGGACAGGGAAACTGTATTTAACACTGAAATACTGGGAAATGGTTTGTTTTCACTTTATTCACCTTGGCAGAGCGAGAGAGGAGCAGAGAGAAAGAGAAGAGCCATTCATCAGCATCCCTCGGCTCTATTTTTAGCTTCACACTGAATCTCAGCAAAACAGCAGGTAGGCCAGCCATTTATTCTATTTGGACAGCAAATGAAAAAAACAGACGTTCAGACTGATCCAATTTCATCAAATATGAGGAATGAACAAAATGCTCTGAGGTGCTACACTTCACACTGAGCCCTGAATGGTCCGTGAAGTCTTGGGGAGGATGAGCCCGGACTAAGAGAGGGGGGAGGTGATGAAGATGACCGGGGGATGATTAGAAAAGCAAAAGTTCTTAAAGGGATTTGGCAGCACAACACACAAACTCGCTCCGAGCCACAGCTCATGCAGTGAGGTGGAAGTGCCCTCGAGGATTGAGACGCAGGCGAGGAGCTGAAGGGTTTATGGTTTCAGTTCTTGTATGAGCTGGTTAAACAGTGGGTCCTGTGCAAAAGTGATGAATTAGCACAAAGTCAAAAAGATGACCAACAACAATGTGAAATTACCAATTGCCTCATTAAGTGGTAATTCAACAAGATCGAAATGGTGCAGTACCTCCGGAAAATCATGGGGGGGCAGTGTAGCCAACAGTTCAAGCAAGACAATCATAGAATATGTGGAGGAAATGTCAGCTATGGCAGAGACTTAGCAAGTTGGTAACAAACTACAGGCATCAATATGATGGTTCTTCACCCGAGCACAGGGACAAACAGCTGCTTTGGCCTCTTTCTTATTATCACAACCTCCCCCATAGCCGATATGTTTGTGGTCAGAAACTCTCAACTCTGCCCTCTAGTGGATATATTGCTGAACAATCACACCAAAGTAAAGGACACATGAAAGTGCATGGGAAGTGATGGTTGCATTGTTTGAATCACACATATCTCTTTTCGTATGTAAAGGCAGAATAAATTATCCTTAAGAGCTGATAGCCACGCAACTGGCTCTGTCACACAGTCGACAATAAGATAGGGATGCTAGATGAAACGTTGAGGGATCAACGAAGTGACTGCTATCTTAAAATTGCATGGCAATCCATCAAACACATTCTGGCGCTAGAGATCACCATAGTAAGTAGAATGCATCATCTGGGAGCCAAGAATGAGCCATTGTGACAATATTGAGGGATTTCACCGTATAAATTAAAGTAACGACCGAATGGTGGCGCTAGACAAATGGTTCATGGAATAAACATAGTTATTAGGATTCATCCTTTGGCACCATGGATGTCTTTTCAAAAATGTGACATATCAAAGTGAACGAAAGTGAAGAACCAAGAAAATGATGGACTGACATCAGCATCCATGAAATCCTTCATGGCTAAAAGAGTTCCGTTAATATTCCATTAACAAGTCTGAGTCACACCTGCTTTGTTGTGAGGATGAACGCTTTAGTCGACAGAGCTCTCATAATTCCTAAATCCTTATTACTGCACTCAAATTATCTTCTAATATCTCAATGTTTCGTGTTTCTGCAGCTTCCTCAGCTTTAAAAAAGGCAACTGTAAAGCTTGGGCAGCCCATGAGCACTGTTTTTTATACTTAAATAATAAGGTATACAGCTTGTTATATTATCCTTGTCCTTTAGTTCACAGTCGACATCCTCGATAAAAATGCAAATGTTGCTCTCAAGTGAGTAGAGAAGAAGGTTTAAATTAGAATTAAGGAGTGTGGAATTCCCTGCAGCTCTCATATAATTGAAAAGGACGAAGATAAAATCTGCATACATGAGTGAAAGTCATGAAATTTAAAACGTCTGCTTTGCCCATGTTGGTGGAGCTTTGAAGAAGAACGGCCTCCAGAAGAACCGCTCTACTTCCAGAGTTATTGCGTGAATTGAGGTCAAGCGATATTTAATGAAAACAGATACACTGCGTACGTGAGATATGGCCGTGCTAACGGTATCCTCACATCTACTGTATGCTGCCATCAATCTGCCACCAGCCTGCTGGGGCATTGCAGGGTTCACGTGATTTTATATTGCTCTGCTGAAATAATGTGAGGCATTACATTAGCAAGTGGATTTTATAGAGCGGCTAAATGCAACATAATTGATAATAACGCAAGAAATCCAGTTGCAGCTGCTGAGAGTAAAAAAATGGTTTTCCACGCATTCTGGGAAACTAATTTGGATTGTGAGATTGTCAACTCTTGATGACCTTGGAGGCTGCACCTGGCTTTTCTGTGTTCGATTCACACGACATGAATTCATTTCCGTCTTCATCATCCAGAAAAAGAAGCATGAAAACAAATCCTTTACCAGCTGCGACCCAGTTATCTGTTTCTCTGTTTGAGAATGAAAAGAATCTTCAGCATATCTTGTTTGAAGTTCTTCTCTTTTAATAATTGTGTCAGGAACTGGGTCTTTTTTTTAACCCTTTTACTGGCATGAGTTTCATGCTGCATCCAATGCCCTGCACGTTTTTCTTTAAAACCTAAGAAATCAAATTCATATTGTGGTGACAATGTCGTTTTTTAAAGATGAATACTTCACTGATTTAGCATTGTGCTAAAGAAGATCAAAATCAATGTAGCAGTAGTGGCCCACAGTGATGTGAACCATTTGTTTGGGAGCTGCCGTTTTGAAGTATTGAGTTTGGGCTTTTTGCTTTGGCTTTTTAAAACCAGAAGTAACCCTGTTTGGAGGAGTGGGGCAATGAACCCGTTGGTCTGATACCTCGAGGACACTGCATGCCCACCAGCAACCTGCACGGTACTAGTAGTCAATCACATGGTATCCAATGAACTTCATGCCGTATTCAAGAAGACTTGAAACTAGTGATTAAGACATAAACATTACCCACAATGCCAACAGTTTGGTGTGTTTGTATCATTTGTACAGTTGCTAATGTTGCCTCCAGCTGTTGCTCCAAAGCAAAGATGAGTAGTTGCAACTCCGCACCCTGCGATTTTATTCCATTATAAAATTGATACTGACTCACTGTGACATGACTTGAGGTAAATAAATCAATAATTATTCACTCATGCAAAACAGCACAATACATTTTGCTATGATGTGGCTAATGGAGAAAACCCATTATTTCTAAATTTAGGGAACTTAAAGGTACAGTGTGTAGAATGGAGGGACATCTAGTGGTGAAGTTGCATGTTGCAGCTGAATACCCCTCACCTCACCCTCCCTTTCCAAACATGACAGTGGAAGCCTTCAGTTGTCATAAAAACTCAAAAGGTGTTTATTTTGTCCACTAGTGAAAACATCATGAGGATTATTTGATATTGAATTTGTGCCAATAGATACTTTTCTCATAAATCTTACACACTGAACCTTTAAGGAGAAACTTCATGGAGAAATCCAGACTTAAAATGGTTGTCTTAGCTCCTGAACTCAGCCTGGCTTTTTGTCTTATTTTGACGTGTCACCATTGCTTCATATTTTAAGATGATGTTATTTCAAATCCAAGGCAGCGCTATTTAAAGCCCAAACCACACTAAGTTAAATCCCGTCTGTATTGTGACACATTTTGTCACAACTGAGCTAATAAAGATCTGAGATTTTATTGATCCCTGCAGGGGAATTCTTCCTCCGATCACTCACCCGTGCACAGAAAAGGTCAGAGCAGAGGCCACATACGGATCAGGAAGCATGATGCTGGAAGCTGGAAGAGATTCAGTTGCTTTGGCTCAAGGGCTCTTCAGCAGGACAGCTGCATGAACAACACAAGGACATAACACCTGAACCTGCAGCTGAAGGAAAGTCCTGCACCCTGCTGCTGATACCATGGTTTTACATTGATTTGAAAATGTTCTTCACTGGACCCTCAGGGTAAACTCCATCGTCGTTGGAAAAATACACAAACAGAGAGAAAAGTGTGAAAACTGCCTTGAAATGATGCTGCAGCATATAAAGAGGCAACCTCACATAACCTGAAGCACTGCTGCTTCTTTTGGTGGATTCATTCAAACCATAGTGCAAACAGGAAAAACCTGTTCTGGTTTGTTATTGCTGGTGTGTGTGTAGCAGAGATCAGGGTGCACTGGGTCACTGTAAATGTTATCTGATGAATTTGACCAAATCAGTGTCCCCTCATGAGGAAGTGAGACATGATCTCACACACAGCGATGGGCTGACTGGTCTGATGGGTGACCGTGCGCCCTCAGGTGTGTCTGCAGGTCACCAACACCTCCCATGTGTGACCCTGCAGAGACACACAATCTGGGGGGGGGGGGTCGCACATTTCTCTACAACACCTGCAGAAAGACAGACTGACCCGGACAGATTTAACAGGAAGCAACGGGCTGCAGAGTCCATCGGACCAAACCGGACACTTTGCCCGTCTTTGGCCGTGGCGCATTCCAACAGATTACCTCCATTCATCCACGCACCACGCGCGCCATCATCCAGCTGGCGTGACACGCGGGGTTTCTACCTGTTAGCACGAGACCAGCGAGCGTCCTCTTACCTTTTCCTCTAGTCTCCTTTGACATAGTGTCCTCTCTGTGTCTCCGTCTCCTCTCGGTGGAAGTCGTCACGTCGCTGTGGACAGTGGATAGAACAGCGACGGCTCTTCCTCCTCTCCTCTCCTCTCCCTCTGCTGCTGCTGCTGATGCCGCACCTTGACGCCCTGCCACACCGAGGCAGGGTGAAGCAGGCACGGGGGAGCTGCGGCCGCCGTGTCGTCTCCTCTCACCGTGGACAGATCAGACAACACAAGCAGGAAACGCAGAAAAGGTGTCCAGCTGTGCGCTCATTCATCAGAGTCGGGTCCGTGTGCGCGTCGAGCCGCCGCAGACATAGTTTGTGTGTTTGTTGTATCTGTGCAGACTCCTCACGTGTGACGATGCCCACCCAGCTCCTCTCCCGTCCAGAGTTCCTCCAAACAGTCCCGGCTCTGCAGCTCGACTGCCTCCAGCGGTGCGCGCACGTCCGCGGCTGCAGCGTGTGCGGGGCGTCCCTCCTCTTTCCTGCCTCCGTTCTCTGACTTTGCACAAAAAAAAAAAAAACCCACACACGCTCAAGAATAAGTGTCACGATAAAGGAGAAGAAACAGCTGCTGGCTTGACTTCACATGCATCAAGAACACTGAGAAAAACTGCAACGTGGAAACCATGCACCCAGTGTGCGCGTTTGTCACTGGCACGACTCAGTTAATTAGATATTTTAATCAATTCCCATGGATTTATCACCGTAAGTCCTCATCGAGATATTAGAGGGATTCCACAACAGGCTGCATTCAATTTAAAGCACGTACACTTCACGATGAAGGTCACTCATGTAATGTGTGAGTTTGCTGTGTATTCATTCGCAGAGGATGTGGAGAATATGAAGAAAAGAAGGACACGAAATAACAAATGATGGATCTGTAGGAATTTGACTGCACCGAAAATAAAATACAAAGAATGTAAGGTTATTGAAAGTGTCTTATTTTCCTTATTTAAAGGTCCAGTGTGTAAGATTTAGGTGAAAGGGATTTTTGGGAGAGATTGAACACAAAATAACCCTAGTGATGTTTTCACTAGTGTGTAATCTCTAAATTGTATGAATTGTTTTTCTATACCCTAGAATGGGCCCTTTATATTTAAAAACCTTATATATACATGTAGAGGGGGGTCCTCTCTGTGGGGGCCACCATGTTTTTTACGGTCGTCCAAACTGGACAAACTAAAACCTTTTGAGTTTTTATAACAACTGAAGTTCACCACAGGTTCTCTCTCATGCTTGGGAGGGGAAGGTGAGGTGAGGGGCATTCAGCTGCAACATGCAACTTCACCTCTAGATGCCCCTAAATTCTACACGCTGAACCTTTAAGGTGCAGATGTCCCATATGTATAAAAAGAGGACACAAGTGTAGAAATATGGAGTTAAACAGAGTATTAATTATAAAGTAAAGGTTATTAGGAGTGTCATGTCCTTATTAAGTGTGCAGATGTTCCACATAGTCTAAACTAGAATAAGGAGAATATGAGTAGAATCATGCATCCATAAAAATATTCACAATAAAAATAATGTCAAGGTTTTTGTTAATGTCTTTCAAGTGCGGTTGTTCCATATGTATACAAAAGAGGATATGAGGTATCGAGATGACGCAGGATGGTAAATTGCAGCAGAATTATTAGTCTGTACAGCAAAAAGAACATAAGTCACCATGATGTCACACAAGAGGCCTATTTGTGTGTTTTTCTCGACGCAGAGTGCAGCTGTTGCATTTATAAATGAGGATACAAAGAAGATGAGGCAAATAAAGCAGAAGGACACTGAGTCACTGCAACATAAGGATGGAGGGGTGAGAGCTGTCACCTCTGTCAACCATTCATCACTGAAGAAGCAGGGGCCACCTTGGTCACACAGGCCCAGTCACCCAGAAAGAAGACGAAATCTTTTAGTTTCAAAGTAAAACAAACCCCATCAAAAATAAATCCATCTGCAGAAGCATGAAGTCTCTTTTCTTACTCCTCCTCTTTTGCTTTCTAGGCAGAAAAGACAAATGAAGCATATGAATGATGTTCCCTCAGGTTAAATCTTTTCCATCCAGTTGTGAGTTCCGCTCTAATGGGACAGATGTTTTGCCTAATGGCTTCCTCGATTTCATTCTTGAGCTGATCTTGACTCGGCTGCCGCAAAACATAACCTGAATTGCTGCAAATAAGCTTTTTCTCATTGCTCACTGATGGCCCACATTAGTGCGTGAAGAGGTCATGATGTGGCACCTGCTCTTCTTCATATGTGACCACAAAAAAGATCACACCATTCCACAAGGATGGTCTGCATGGTGCCAGCGTCATTTGGCAGCCGAGTGAATATTGATAGAGGAAAGTGCCTGTGGCCGAAACCATTGCTCTGGAGCTGGAGACGCTACATTACCGAACTCTACCAGGAATACACGCAGCCAATTTGTATTTATCACAGGAGCCGATGACAAAACACTTCTAGGCTCACAGCACTAAGCTGAAATCCCACCAAGAAAAGAAGCCAGCGACATAAATAGCTGATTTCACCAAATGGCTGAACTGACTGGATCCAAGTGAAGAATAAAAGCCCAACTGAGTTTCGTGACTTTCTTTCATTTGAAGGATTGTCCCACACGAGTGAAAACACTACAGTGCAGACTGGTGTTACACATCACAGTCACATTTTTATCGAAAAAAGTATTTTAAATATTACCCAGATTTAGAGAGTGAAAATCCAGACACTTTAAATTGATGGTAACCTCAGACTTCAGCAAAGCAAACTACAGGCTCAACAGAACCTCAGCCTAGTGTGAGATATTTATGGTGGTACTGTAGATAACCTCTGTGGGGCTTTTGGAAAGTGAATGCAGAATCTGTTTCAGCAGGGTAAAACTCTCTGGGAGCTATTATGGAGTCACAAAACACAAAACCCGGCAGTCAGCAAAACAAGTTCAGCACCCGAGGAGCCGATTGGCTTTGTCTGTGAAAATAATTTAGAGACTTGAGAGTGGGGAAAGGAACTTATTGAACCTTTTAATTCCTGGAACCAAACAAAAAAAATGGCTCTATGATTTCTGTATTTTAAATATATGATGATTTATTCTAAAATATTCCTCAGCCCGTGTATCAGAGTACCCTCACACAAGGTGAGAGAGGAGACCGGCACTTCTACTTCACATTCAGGTATTGTTGAGTGATAACTGCTCTATTACAATAGTCATTTGTCTTTCTGTGTCCTTGCTATTATATTGTGAGCTTTTATGTAGATAACAAGAACTAGTGCCAGTCTATGGGTCTGAATTCAATTATGACACAAACCACAGGCCATGGTGACATTTGAGTATCCGTGGGCACACTGTCTTTATATCGCATATTTACACTTACTAGCTATAGCAACTTTTATATTTTTACTTAAAATACATGTACATATATATTCTTAAAGAACTTAAAATATCCTCTATATTTCTTTCATCACATACATTTTTTCCACCCTGCTCCTTGTGATAAATGAACCTTTTTTAAATCTTTGAGCATTTAATCATTTTAAATGTTTGTTAAATAAGTTAGTAGGAGAAAATACAGTCGTGAAAAACTTAAAAAAGCTCGGTTCGAAAGTAGAATTCATTACTCACTCTTCACCTAAAAAGATTATTTGCATTTTATGGTGCTCAGGGTAACATTACACCTTTTACTCCAATATGTGCATTAATTTGCACAACCATCATCACTGCTTAGTTTGCAGATCAAGATACAATGGACAAAATTGATTAGAAAATACATTTTGATCCACTGGAATAACCAGGAGTGTTTCAAGGGGCTTTTGGGACCCAGGCAATAGGGACCTGTGGGTCCCTACATCGTACCAAAGTGAGGAAGAGTGCAGGAAAAGGTCATGTTGCTGCTCCTCCTGCTGAGTGAGCTATTCTGTATGTCGCAGTCGAATCTCCACTTACACAGCAATAAAAAATGACGACAAACACTGGGAGTTTTTTTCTACATAACTATTGTCTCCACTTTTCTCTCTCACCATCAGAATGAGTTTAGTTGGTCTGTCTGCTGAGACTCTGCCACCTCACTTGTTTCAAACAGTTAACTTCATAACAAGATGCTGCCAACACAGCACAGCTGTGTCTGTGTGAATGATAAACTGCCCAAATGCAGCCTCAGAATAATGCGGCTGGAATAAAAGGAATTTGCGATGAAAAATGTTCTGTATTAAATGCAAACAATGCTGGTATTTGCAGATGGAGTGAAGACAGGTGATGCTGCATAAAAATCATTCATATGACACCCCAGCTTCAGCAGGGCATCTCTGGAGAGCAGCAAACAGAATTGATAAAGTCATATATCTGCTTCTTAAGAGTAGAAAATGTTCAGAATGCGACTGTCAAAAAGCAACCTTGGCGTACCCGTACAGCACAGTGTTCTCTCAATGCATTCTGAATATATTGCAGTCGGTCCTCAGCGTAATGAATTTGCTCTGATAATGAGTCAGCGCTGGCTGGCGGCTAGGTCGAACCTCTCTGACCATTAGAAATGATAATATTGTGCGACGTTCTGCATGGATCCTGGTCTTTTCAGTCACATCTCTTTGTGTGTGGTTTCTGCTTCAATCCTAAACAATCTGTGAAAGAACAATGAGACAATACAACACATAATTTTCATGTTCCATAAGGACAGAACTATTAAAAAGTAAATAGCCAAAACAGGAACTGCTCTATTCTCTGGCTTGCTGACTAAACAGTCTCTTAGTCAGATACTAAGTGGTTTCCACTGAGTTGGCAGGAATGAAATTATATTCTGCTCAATCTTTTAAATCTCTCTCAGCAGACACATATATAATTTCTGAGCCATAACAACATGGAATAATTATAAACATAATAGTCTAAAGCCTTTTAATGTTTCCAAATCCCTAAGGTCAGACTGGCGTCCGTTCTTAAAGGGAAAGTTCACAGAAAAATGTAAGTCCACAAAACACTTCTGGAGTCTCAGGGGTAAAATTTGTTGCAGCAGAATCCAATTCATTGGAAGTCAATGGTGACCTAAATTAATCAACAGAAAAAACATAACATGCCTACATATTGCTCGTGTGGTGTCATCCAAGTGTCTGCAAGCCTGACATTCATATTTGACTTGAAGCGGCGTGATTTACACCATGTTTTATCCCTTAATATCCTCTGATAGTTTTCCTACCAGGTGCTTTCACAGACACACCATTGTGTGGCTACGTCTGCTAGCTGAGCCACTTCCATTAGACTTTTAGGCTTAAAACACAGTGTAAATGATGCCATTTCAAATAAATATATACATATAAATAAAAGATTAAATAATGTCAGCGTAGAGACGACAACACAAAATCGAAACAAAGAAATGTGCACTGAAAAGCCTGCACATATTCACACTCCCATGCAGGTAAGAGCCAGAGGGGAAATAGAGACAGCTGATTCAGTGAGAGCTAATTCATTCAGTCACTGTATGTCCGCTGTCAAAGGCTGGCCCCCACAGGCCAGAGCAGCATCTGGATGTGTCCCCGCTCATCTGTCTGCATGACTTTCATGTTGACGCTCTCAAGGGACACTGACATTTTCTTGGTCTGCAGAGTCTGCCTTGTTTGTTTTGGATTCACAATTGACAGTTTTCACCATGATTATGCAGGATTCAGTTGGTCAGTGCTGACAGCATACAAGTGAAAAACTGAACTGTGGTGAAAAGATAATGATAAAATAGTGCTAAATCAATATTCTTTACGTCCACATTATTCTTTTGTCATGTAACTTACTGGATAACGCATTAACCAGATAGTAGAAATAAAGCTGTGTGTTGTGTTTAAACCCTTTATTCAGATATTAAGTAAAGGAGCGGTTACAATAGATTAAACACATGATCTTCTCCTAAATCATTTTGGTGGCGGCCATATGCGA